GCGTACCTCCAGCAGCTGATCGACGCTGCCCAGACGAAGCATGTCCCGATAGTCCACTGCTGGCGCGCGCGCAAGCGCCTCTTGGCAGAAGCTGCTCGCCTCGTTCGCGACGACTGGGTGCGCCAGACCGCCGGCGCAGCGGGGTGCATTGGCTTCGCGGGCGGACGGGTGATCGCGGCTTGCTTGGCATCGCGAGCCATTCGGCGTCGAGACTTAACTGACGCGCAAGCTGCGCTCGCCGCCGAGATCGGCGCCGAGTACTTCGCCATCTCCGATCGCGCCATCACTTTGAACCACAGCTCCGCGTTCGCCGACCTGTCTGCGTCGCTGCGGCGCGGCTTCGAGGCTGGGCGGCGCTCTCTGGCTCTGCGGGCGGTTCAGCGCCCTCGGGGGCAGCCCGGTGCCTCGGCCCTGCATTGCTCCGCCGCATCCTTCGGCCCCCTCGGCGTCGGGCCCTCCTGCGGGCCCCGTGGAAGCGCCGTCTCGCCCGCCAGGGAATCAAGATCAGCGGCCCCCAGGGGCCTCCGGGGGCAGCGAGAGGGGGCGGCGCCATGGCGGACGCCCTGCGCGCGCGCTGGTAGCCCGTCTTCTCCGCCAAGGTGGTCGATGTAGACTGCGTGAAGCACTCCCTCGAGTCCCGCGTGCTGCATGGGGCCACCATCGACGTCGGCGCGCCGAACACGTGCGGCAGTCGAGAATTCCTCCGCCGCGCCGCGCCATCCGCCCCTGGCCCAGATCGACTGCCCTGATTGGCCTGGCTGGCGCGCGCTGACTCGCTCGACATCTTGGAGGTCCTTCCCTTCGACCTCTGCTCCAACGGGCCGTCCATCAGCGACCTCGACGACTCCGACTTCGCTTTCCTGCCCAGGGGCGACAACTTTGGCGGGGCAGCCCACAACATAACGCGAGCCTGAGGACACCGGGCCACTCGCTCAAGAGCACAGTCGTCGAAGCCATCGCAGGCGCCGCCAACTCCCCCATCGAAAACCAGGTGTCCGACCGCGCGCATCTCGCGCAGCTGGGCTTCGTCGTCGGCCGCAGTTTCACCGGGCACATCGCGCGCCTAGATGAGATGCGTCGGGCGGGGGCCGCGCCAGACGCAGATCGCCGCTTCCCCGTCTTCGCGAGCTTCGACTTCGCGGCGGCTCTCCCATCGCTTGGGCTGGTCTGGATGTTCGCGTCCCTCGAGCGCTTCGGCGCCCCCGTCGGCCTCGTTGACCTCTTCCAGCAGATGTGCTACGCGCCGCGCAGCTATGTCAAGGTGGGCGGAGTGTACCACTCCACGTTCGCGATCGAGTGTGGCGCAGCACAGGGCTACCCTGCCAGCGGATCGGCATGGGCGTTCGCGATCGTGGAGAACGCAGACGGCACGCCGAACTACAACTAAGGCTGCGTCGGCGGCTGCGGGGGCGACGCTGGCTTGCTCGCACGAGTTCAACGCCCTTCGCGAGGCGTTTGGGCCGTTCTCTTCCGCCCAAGAGCATGCGCTCCTCTCTCTCTCTCTCTCTCTCTCTCTCTTTCTCTCTCTCTCTCTCTCTCTCTCTCTCTCTCTCTCTCTCTCTCTCTCTCTCTCTCTCTCTCTCTCTCTCTCTCTCTCTCTCTCTCTCTCTCTCTCTCTCTCTCTCTCTCTCTCTCTCTCTCTCTCTCTCAAGCCTCGCAAGTGCGTGGCGGTGCCGCTCTGGGCCGCCGCGACCCCGGCTGTCATTGCCCAGGCGAGATCTCTCCTGTCCGCGTTCTGTCCTTTCTGGTGCGTTGTCTCGGTCGCGGGGCGAGCCAAGTACCTCGGGGCCTTCCTTGGGCCCAACGCCCCCCTCGCTTGTCAATGGCTCGCCCCAGGGCAAGAGCGGTGGCAGCGGGGGAATCTCCTGCAGCTTGCGCAGAGCGGCGGCGACGCCAGCTTCAGACTTTGCAATGCGTCGACTCTATCCGCGCTCCGTTATGTCGCCCAGTTTTTCCAGTTCGAAGCCAGAATCACTCGTCGCGAACTTTATATATTGCACGAGGTGCTTAACCTGCCGCCGGATAGTCGCGATGGAGGAGTGGGGCCCGCCTCCTGTTATCCGCTCCGCTCAAATCACCACTGCAGCCGCCGCCGTGCGTTTTGTTTCGCACGCGCCCCGCGGAGATTGGGGGCCTTTTCGCGACTGTCTTCGTGGCGCCGGGTGGGAGGAGAGCACGGCGCATTTTTCCATCGGTGGGAAGCGGGGCTCTGGTCCCCGCCCTTCTGGGAAGAGGCTCGGGCCATCGCGCAGTTCTACCGTGCCCTGTCGCGAGGCCAGAGCATCTCGCCTTTTCTCTGTTGCATCCGTGGCCGCGGCAAACCAGGCTGCTGCCCGCGAAATTCGCGATGCGCCCGCTGCTGGTCCGCCGCGCCGACCCAAGGTGCAGCGAATCATCGCCCAGTCTCTCTGCAAGGCCGCGTTCCCGTCGCCGTTCACAGTCGCGCTCCGCAAGCGCATCGAAACTTGGGGCATCCGCGAGTAACTGCCGCCTGCAGAGCTCTCTAGCCGCTGGTCCGCTCTCAGCTCAGCTCTCGGCGAAGTCCGGCCCAGCTGGCGCTGGGCAGCATTCAAGACTCTCGCAGGTGGGTGGGCAACAACGCGCCGCATGCACGTGCTCGCGCATGCACGGGCGCGCCAGATTCATTTCCCCAGTGCCTCTCCTGCCCGGTCCTTGTGAGCCTCCTCTGGTCCCCCGACTCGCCTCCGCTCCTCAGCACGCTGCGTCTACGTGGGCCATGGGCCCTGCAGTTGCCTACCCGTCTGACCCTGCCAGCGACTTGTCGCTGCGGCGGGCGATCCAGCGTGTGGCGTTCGCCTCCCACATTTGCAGCACAATGAAGCAAACCGCAGCGCCGACGCCAGACGCAAGCGCGCCCGCGCTCAGCGCAGCCCGTGCCCAATTGTGGCGGGGGAGCGCCTGTCTTCCAGCGCGGCAACCACGGTGCGTCTGTAGCGTCGGTGCGCGGCCGAGCTAAGATTGGCGAGTTCGCTTCAAGCCACTCGCACTCCTCCCCCTCCTTCTCCTCCTCCTCCTCCTCCTCCTCGTCCTCCACCTCGTCGTCCTCCTCTTCCTCCTCCTCCTCCTCCTCCTCCTCCTCCTCCTCTTCGTCATCCTCCCCCCCTGGATGTGCCGCATGAAGGCGGCGCAGAGAAGGGAACGCGGGGCCAAGGGATGGGGTGGGGGGGGGTCGTCGCCAGCGCGGGCGCGGCGGCGCCCCAGGACGGCGAGCGCGCCAAGCACCCGGAGCAGCTCGAGGACCGGCGGCGAGCTTCGGGGGCGCCTTCCGCTTCCTTCCCTCCTTTTCTTTCTCCTTCTCCTCCCTCCTCCTCCTCCTTGTCCCTTCCTCCATCCTCCTCTGTAACTCCTACTTTATCCTTCCTCCTTCCTCCTTCCCCCTCACGAGTCAGACGCCGCGCTGTTTCGCGGAGGCGAGGCTCCGCATCACCGCTGCCGTGACCATGACGGGCAACACGAGGACCGTCTGCGCGACCTGTTCCGCAGCGCACGCCGCGTCATCGGCGAAGTGCGACACGAGCACGGACCCGAGGACGATCAGCGCCAGCGGCATCGCCTGCTCCGCCGCGTCCTCGTGCGCGACTTCGGCGCCACGGGGAAGCTCGAGGGCCTCCTTTCCCAAGTCGCCCAGCTCCGTGCTTGGATCCGTGCCGTCGTCGCCGAAGGCCTCCTGCTCGGCGAGGCGCTCGGCCCCCCCAGGAGGATCTGCACCGTCGCCAAGGTCGGCGGCCCGCACCGCCACGATGGGCGTCCTCTCCACGACGACCCGCACCTCCACGAAGATCCACGGCGGGCAGCCCCATTAGCTCCACTGCGCTCCCGTCCTCGGTGCGGCTCCCCGCCTCGGCTACCAGGAACGGCACGGCCGAGCTGCAGAGCGCCGAGCGCGGCGTGCCGCCCGAGCCGCCGACGGCGGCGGCCGCGATCGCGGCGGCGGCGGCCCGCGCCCCCAGGGCGGCGGCCGAAGGCCGCGCCGCCCGCATGGCCTCCCCCTCGGCCGTCAGCTCGCTGCAGCGCCGCCGCACTCCGTGCCTCGCGCAGAGTCGCCGGCGGCAGCGCCTCGGATGCGTGGCGGGCTGCCCGCCGACGCCTCTGCCTGTCGGCGCTGGGGCCGACGGGGTCCATCTCTGCAGCGGCCGCGCCATGACGATGACACTGATGATGCTGATGCTGATGATGCTGATGCTGATGATGCTGATGATGACACTGATGATTGTGGTGCTGCTGCTGATGGTGATGGTGATTCTGCTGCTGATGATGACGACGATGATGCCGATGATGATGGTGATGATGCTGGTGATTGTGATGATGATTAGGAGGATGAGGATGAGGATGAGGATGATGATGAGTATGGTGAAGGAGGAGGAGGGTGACGAGGATGATGATGCTGCTGATGATGATGCTGATGATGACGACGCTGATGACGACGAAGATGATGATTATGATGCTTATGATTATTATTATGCTGCTGCTGAGGATGATGGCGATCGTGATGCTGACGAGGGTGATGGTGGTGGTTGTCATGATCATGGCCATGATCATGATCACGATGATCATGATGAGCATGACGACGACTACGATGACGGTGACGGTGACGATGAATGATGGTGACGAGGATGATGCTGATGATGATGATGATGATGATGATGATGATGATGATGATGATGATGATGATGTCGATAACGGTGAAGATGATATGATGATGATGATGATGATGATGATGATGATGATGATGATGATGATGATGATGATGATGATGATGATGCTGATGATGATGCTGACGCTAATGCTGATGATGAGGATGAGGATGAGGATGATGATGGTGACGACGTCACTGTTGGCGTAATAATGATGGCGGCGACGACGATGACTCTGATGATGATGAGGATGATGGTGCTGGTGGTGATGGTGATGGTGATGGTGATGCTGATGAGGATCATGTTGCTGCCGCTGATGATGATCACGATAATGAGGATGAGGAGGACGACTCGCCATCCCCGCCCCCGACGAGGAGCAGCGCTCGCGCCTGCTGGCCCTGCTGGAGCGCGAGCGCGCGCTCCTGCCGGGCCCGCCTCCCAGACGCCTCGCGCTTCCTCGTCGTCGTCGTCGTTGTCGTCGTCCCCATCCTCCTTGCTCTGATCCCCTCCCAGTCGAATAAACAAAAGACTCTTCCTTTCCCTCATTCCCTTCCTCCTCCTCCTCCTCCTCCTCCTCCTCCTCCTCCTCCTCCTCCTCCTCCTCCTCCTCCTCTCTCCATCCCTTCCTCCCCCCTCCTCCCCATCCTCCCCCTCCTGCTCCGTCTCCTCCACCTCCTCCCTTCTACGACATCCCGCTCCTCCTCCTCCTCCTCCTCCTTCCCCATTTTGGCTCAAGGGCGCAACGTGGTTTGCAGTGCTCTCTGGGGCGTGAGCCATGCCGCACTCCGTTTCTAAGGCGGGCCGCGATGTCGCCCGATTACGGTTGATCCCGCAGCTCCCACGAGACTGATCACAAGAGGGAGAAGAAAGAGAGAGGAACGATAAGAAGGACAAGACGAGTAAGGATGATGTGAGGGATGGCGATCAGATCATCAACACACTCCACAGCTCCCTCGGCAGGAATATCGACAATGAGACGGAGGACGTGTGCTCCATGAGGAAAGAGCCCATGGAGCTCAACGAGAAGACCGTCAGGGAGTTCAAGGTGGGGAAGACGGAGATTTCCGAAATACGGGAGCGCCAGAGGAAGGATGGCGACCGCGTCAGCAAGTTGGAGTCTGAGTCTGAGGCCTTCTGCAAAAGCGGCAGTGCAGGGGAGGGAGGACTAAAGGATGGTGAAAGTAAGCCGTATTTGAGCGATCGCCATTTGCTTCCCTTGGGCCAGAGGCGGGTCGTCTTTGTAGGTGGCTTCGACGAGGACGTAGACAGCCAGGACCTCAAGAACGTCATCCGGGACCAGGTGAAGGACTTCTCCGGGGTCGAAGAAATTGTTTCGATCGGGAGCCCGTCCAAAAAAGGTAACATCATATTTCAAGATGACATGTGGGGATTCCTGAAAGGGATGAAGAGGAGGAAACTGACGTTTAAGTGGAGGAGCCTTTTCCGCACCATCGACACATTTCAGCGACGAACAAGTGTTAAGTCGCAAGGTTTTCGGACTCTTGAAGGCCTTCACAGAGGTCGCACCGCTGGGCCTCACCGAGACGAGCTGCTGGCAGAGTATCAAGCACAATGACGTGAACGACATGACGTGGATGCGAACGGACGTCGACGGTACTACCAAGAACGTCCAGATCGTCAAGCGGAAGCCGGGCACCTTGGACTGTGAGATCGGACCGACTATCACCACCCTCCTTCACAAGTTCGAGGGGTTCGACCTGGCCTCGAAATTATTGGAGGTCAATGCAGTGGCTCCCAGGGGATGGAACGAGGAGGAGTCCATGTGATGGGTAGAGGTGGGTGCACGGAGTGGCGGGTAAGGTGATAGCATGGTGGGCCCAAGCGCATTTTGGGTCATTCAGCCTGGTGCTCAAGAGAATGTTCAGTGGTTCCGGGGAGTAAGCTAGAACGTCGTGGGCTTGGTCATCAGGGAGTGGATCCAGTTTTTGCTTTGTTATTTCGGGTGTGGTCCAACGGCGCGTCCTCCTCCTCCTACTGCGAGAATTCAGCATGTACACTGGCACCCTCAAACAGCTTACTGATGACGGGCACTGGGACCGCAATCCAGTACATGGTCAAGAACTCGTTCGTGCACGTCGGGAGGGCGGTCTCGATTTATTTCAATATCCCCATATGTACATAAGATGCAGATGGTTCGATTTTACCCACCTTCGGACATTGTGCCCATACAAGGCCAGGAGAAAATATGTCACATTATGTTTGGGAGTACCTTCAGGCTGATGTCTTGTGATTGGTGCAGATGTTCAGGTCATTTATTCCAGAATTTGGCTGGACTTCTCACCGAACACCCGGCAAGGCGGAAGGGCAAAACACTTCTTGAGTCCATGCTGGAGCACGATGTTGCAGCCTTCAAAATGTTTAGCCAGAATCACGATGATGGAGCGTTTACTTGCCATTTGAACTTTGAATCGGAGGCTCGACAAACTGATTTCCGTCGTGCACCGAGAGCTTTGAAAACTAAAGGCTTCTGCAAACCTACGGCGTTTGACGACGAACGCCGCAGGGCCGCCTCCAGAACCCACTGGATGCAGACTGGAGGGCTTCAGCTGTGCATGTAATTTCCGGGGCCATCTCGACCTCGCCGGCAGAGACGGCACGCGCGATACTTGAGCCAGTCGTTCGAGGAGTCCGCGTTGCAGATCTTCGCAGATGCGCATTGCAGGTGCCGTAAAAGACGTCCAATAGTTGCCTCCTGGAGCTGCGTCGCCAACGGCAGTCGGGGCGAAGGTGGGGATGGCGGGACAGCTCTTGCGGCGGCAGGCTCTGTAGCTGTCGCGCCCGACAGTGCCATGCATGTCGGGGCGAAGCGAGCCGTGATCGAGGCGCGTTCTTTGTCGTTGTCGACTCGCGACCCCCGAAAAACACCGATCGTGGCAGGGCGTCGACAAAATCGGCTTCATGGTGGACACGATGTACGTCGTTGGCATTCCTTCTGGAAGATTCTATCCAAAAGAGAGTATCGAGCCATGTACTCTAAGTGTACGTTCATAGACTCGTCTCAAAATTCTTCGATGTGAAAGCGCGTGAGGCGACGTCGCATGGGCATCGCTGGCAGCGACGAGGCCGACGCCATAGCGGAGAACGCGGGACGACCCAATGCGGCCGACTCGCGGCAGCAAAGACCGTGCGTCTTGCAGGGTTGGGGGGGCGCGGAGTTCCTCGTGAAGCTCGGGGGATGGCGCGACGACGGCGCAGTCGACGTCTCGATTCGGGCGGCGCCCGATGACGCCGACGCCGCCCTGAGCGAGCTGCGGGCGGTTGACCGCGAGCAGGAGGTACCTACTTTGTCCCCGCTTGCGCGTGGGATTTCGCCCGAGACAGCCGAGCGCGGCCGCGGCCCTCGCAGAGACTGGCGCGACGACGCCAGCATGGGAAGAGAGAAGGCTGAATTTGATAGCATGCGGCGCGCCGTCTGGATGGAGATGGACCCACTTGCTCGAGCCTTAGCCTTCGCACCAGTCCGCCAAACAGCGGCGCAGATCGGCCAGATTCAGGCTCGACGCAGGGCCGGGCGAGGCCATCGTGCCCGCTCCCCCACGAAGCCGTTCAAAAAGGCTGCAGCCACATTCTTCGACGACGGGGGGGCCGACGATGCTGCAGTGGGCCTGGTGGGCAAATGTCGAATGCTCACCTCTCAGTTCAGACATTGGCGCAACGGCGAAAGATTCCCTCGAGAATTTGCCGGAGTGGGTCTTCAAGGTCTGGCGCGCAAGATTCAGGAACTCAGCGACGATTTGGCGCAGACTTGCCGGTTCGCCCGCAACCGCAAAGACATGATAACAATCGGTATGGTTGCCAGCTTGGACGAGGATATTTTGGATGCGTTGGCACGGGCAATCAAATCATGGCTTCGCAACTAATCGTCGGAGGACACTGAGGAAGCGTGAGAATTGGTTACTGCGCAGCGCATTTCACAGAAAGTAGACCCCGCGCACCCTTCGTAGCTGAGACCGTTAATTACCCTGCCCCGACGAAGCTGCACGCGGTATGTCTCATGGAGCTTGGGAGAAACGTGCTCGACAACCTGAATCAGGATCAGGTTGCCTCCTGGCCTAAATTTCAGGCGTTGGGCGTCATTTTTCCATTGATGAGCTCGATTGACACATCTATCGACTTGAATGCTGTTTTGCTGCCCATTTTCGTGCTACGAGGCGACATTTTCAAGGCGCGCGACGCAGTCGGCCACTGCGTCGGTGTCCAGAGGTTCGTGGAGAAAGAAATGCAGAAGATCACCGCGGCGGCGATCTTTCTCAATATCCGCATATTAAAACCACGGATCGCGGCGAGCGACGGGCGCGGCGGCAAGTTGTCTCGGACGCGCTCTTTGCATCTCGGTGGCCCCGATGCCCCGAAGGTTTCCAACCCGAGATTCGATTCTGACTTTGCGGTTCAACTAGCTCTGTGCCGCGAAACAAGTGAGGCGCGGCTATTTCGGACCAGCGTTGCGGTGCATTGTGCCTCGCCGTCAACCTTTGCCTGTTCGGTACTTCCTGCGTCCTGCGACATGTTGGAAAGTATAGACCCGCATTTTTTCAATGTCCTCAAACGAGCTGGGTGGACAGCGCCGGTCCCCGCATGCACGTGGTGCACGACAGACGCGGAGAATAGTCTTGCGTAAATTACCATCGGCAGCCAGGTTGCGCGCGAGTTGGGAGGAATGTGCGCGTCTCCGTGTTTCGCATCGTTCTGGCAATCGACGGCGCGTTTGCCGAGGAGGTCGACCACCGTGCAACAAACATTTTGGGTGTTTGGCTAAATGTCGCAATACATTGACTCACAAGCGGAGTGTTCTCTGAGACGGAAGTTGAAACTCTTGGACATGACTGTGAAGCCGACTTTGCTCTGGGGCGCGGGTGCGAATCTGCCCGTGCGCTACGAGCGACGTCTTTCAGGAGCGCAGCGGCGCATGGTCAGGGCCATTCTCGGGGTCGAGAAGTTCCCAGGTGAGTGGGTAGATGCTTACTGCGAGCGTCGTGAACCCGTGGTCGAGCGGGCAATTTTATAGTACATTTTGGAGCCTTGGACCCAACTTTGGCGCCATACGCATTACGAGTGGGCTGGCAAGATCGTCAGACAGGGGGGCGCCGACCCTGCCAGAATTACGTCGCACAAATTATAGTGGCAGTCGATACGTCACCTCCGAGAATTTGCGGCGAATGGTTCTTTGTGGCAAGGGCACTTGGCAAGGATTCGCGCAAGCCGATGGGAGGCGAACCATTTTTTTGTTCTTTCAACCGGCGCGGAATGCTATGGACAGACGTGGCTTCCATTCTCGAGTCCTACCACACGTGCCCCGAACATTTCTGGACATGGAGAGCCCGAGCGGTCTCTGAGCGGGGGGTCGGGCGGGCGGCGTGTCTCTCGCGGACAACCAACGCCGCTGCGCCGTAAAAGCCTTCTTCCCCTCTTTCTCCTACCCCCCTCCTTCTCCTCACCCCCCATCCTCCTCCGCATCCCCCTTTTCATTATCCCCCCTCCCCGTCCTGCTCCTCCTTTTCCTCTTCCTTTCTCCCCCTGTTCCTTCACTTTCGCCTCTTCCTCCCCCTCCCCCCTCCCTCCCTGTCTTCTCTTCCCTGCCGCGCCCCCCTCCTCTCTTTCTCGTGCTGCGTGCAGTCATTGTGCGAGACCCGTTGGGTCGGTGCTCTCTATCTCCTCCTCCTCCTCCTCCCCCTCCTCCTCGATCCTCTTTCTCTTCTTCGATCCTCCTCCTCCTCCTCCTCTGGGAAGGGGGCGGGCGGGGAGGATGATGGCGATGAGGATGGAGGAGGATGAAGACATGGAAGGGGCGGGGTCATGGCGGTGTTCGGTAAAGTCGCGGCGGGATCATGGCGAGGTCTTGGTGGGGTCCTGCCTGCTCCCGAGGCGGGGACCCACGGCGCCTCGTGATCGGGGGCCTGTCGCAGGGCGTGGCCCTCGCCGTCGACGTGGCGCTGCGGGCGCCCTTCACTGTGGGCGGGCGGGGCCGGCAGGATGTCGTCGTCGTCGGCGTCGCCGTCGTCGTCGCTGTCGTCGTCGTCGTCGTCGCCGTCGTCGTCGTCGTCGTCGTCGTCGTCGTCGTCGTCGTCGTGGTCGTCGTCGTCATTGCTTCGTCGTCGTGGTCGTCGTCGTCGTCGCTACGTTGTCGTCGTTGCGTCGTCGTCGTCGCCGTCGCCGTCGCTGCGTCGTCATCAACGTCGTTGCTGGGGAAGGAGGAGGATGAGGAGGAGAAAGAGGAGGAGGAGGAGGAGGAGGAGGAGGAGGAGGAGGAGGAGGAAGAGCAGGAGGAGGAGAAGGAGGAGGAGGAGGAGGATAAGGAAGAATTCGTCGCCGTCGTCGTCATCGTCGTCGTCGCCGGCGTGGTCGTCGTCATCGTCGTCGATGCTTCGTGAGGAGGAAAATGAGGAGGAGGTCGTCGTTGTCTTCGTCGTCGGGTCGCGGCATTGTCGTCGTGATTTTCGTCGTTGTCATCGTCGTCGTCGTTATTGAATTGTCATTCTTGATAAAAGTATTGATCCCCCCTGGTGCCCGCTGCGCTTTTCAATTCAAGTGCTCCTCCGAAGGGGTCGCACCCTATTTCTCATAAGGGGAAACCTGAAGGGTCAGAAGGGGTCGCGGCAACCGAACTGCAAGAACAAACGCAACAACAACAATTTTAAGACGGTTCGCTCTTATCTGCTCACGTGCCATTCAACACGTGTGTCCCAAACCCTCGATACCCGCCCTCTTCGTCTTCTATCGTGCCCCTTTGGGATACCTGCCACTGTGCATTTAGCGAAGACAACCTTTTAAACAGGGGAAGACAGGACGGATGGAAGGGGAGGGAGAAGGATGGAGCACGAGAGGAGTTAGCAGGCGGGGGTCTAGGAGCAGAAAACACGTGACAGAACCAGACGGGCAGATCAGACGGGCAGACCCTAGCGGGCGGGTCGGAAAGGCGGGCCTGGGCGGTCAGGTCGAGCAGGCGGGTTGCTGAAGCGTGAGTCCTGCACGAATCGCGAGGAGGTCTCGAGCGACAACGCGATTCCCAAGTGAATCGCGAGAGGGCCAAAGCGAGAGCATGATTCCTGAGTGTCGAGGGCGCGGTGTCTGAATAAATTCAGGAAATCCCGCGCGAGACCGCGATCCTTGCATAAATTCTAAGGGAGCCCCGCGCGAAAGCGCGACTGTGGAATAACCTGTGAGGAAGTATAAAGAGGGAACTGTTGAATTTTATTTCAAAAGAATAATTCGTGTTGATCCCTCCCTCTGGTAACCATGGTAGTTTTCAATTAAATTGCTTCTCCCCGGGCTTGCACCTTGTTGTTTACAAGTGAGAGTGAGGTGTCACCAAACTGTGTTGTTGGGTCCCGGTGTACCACCGCAACGTCTCCCGCGCGATATTTCCTCACAATGTATTCCCAAATCGCGCTCTCGCGCGGGACGTCCTCACAATTTGTACAAACATCGCGCTCTCGCGTGGCATTTCCGAGTTGTTTATTCAGACGCCGCGCTCTCGACACTCAGGAGTCACGCTTTCGCTGTGGATTTCCTCGCGATTCATGTGAGAATCGCGCTATCGCCCGGGACTTCCTCGCGATTCATGCAGGACGCACGCTTCAGCAACCCACCTTCCTTTTTTGTCTGTTCCTTCCATCCGTCTTTTCTTCCCTTGTAGTAAACAAGGTGCGAGCCCTGGGAGAAACATTCGATTTGAAACATACAATGGTCACCGGAGGGGGGTCAATATTAATATTTTTTGACATGAGATTTCAACGGCCCCCGCTTGATATGTCCTGGCAAATTATTCCAAAATCGCGTCCTCGCTCGGGACTTTTTAGAGTTTATGGAGGGTTCGCGCTCTCGCGTGGGACTTCCTCGCAATTTAGCAATATCTATTTTTCAACAGCGGCTCCCGCGTGGTACTTCCGCCGAATATATTCCAAATCGCGCTCTCGCGTGGGAGTTCCCCACGATTCATGTAGGAATCGTGCTCTCGCGTGGGACGTCTCCTTAATTTATTCAGACGCCGCGCCTTTGCCACTCAGCAGTGAAGCTCTCGTTTTTTTTTTTTTTTTTTTTTTTTTTTTTTTTTTTTTTTTTTTTTTTTTTTTTTCCAGTAGTTGCTTGGGAATCGCACCATCGCTCGAGACTTCCTCGAGATTCGTGCAGGCCACGCTTCAGCAACCCGCCTGCTCGACCTGGCCGCCCAAGCCCGCCATCCCTACCCGCGTGTGAGGGTCTACCCGCCCGATATGCACGCTCGTTTATACCGCATGTTTTCTGTTCCTGGCCCCACTCTTGCTAATTCCTCTCGTGTTCCATCATTTCCCTTTTCCTTCCATCCGTCCTCTCTTCCCCTGTCTCAGGGCCTGCGTTAAATGCCCGCGGCAAGTAAGGAATATATACCCCCCCCCAATAGGGTACGATCCACGACGAAAAGAGCGGGTACCGATGTTTTGGGATATACGTCTGCAGTGGCACGCGAGCAGATAGGAACGAATAGTCTGAAAATAATTGTAGTTGTAGTTGTAGTTGTAGTTGTCGCTGGATTATTCTGTCGAAAGAAGAATATTTGTTGATTTCCCCTTCCGCTAATCATTACATGATTCAATTAAAGTGCTCCTTCCGGGTCTCGTACCATGTTGTTAACAATGTAAAGTGAGGTGCCACCACGCAGTGTTGTTTGGGCCCCTGTTTGCAACAGCAACGGCTCCCGCCTGATATTTCCCAACAGTGTCTTCCCAAGGTGCGCTCTCGAGCGGGATTTCCTCACACATTATGCAGGAATCGCGCTCTCGCGTGGGATTCTTGCAATTTAGTCAGCCGCCGCGCCCTCGACACTCAGGAATCATGCTTTCGCTGTGGATTTCCACACGATGTGTTTGGGAATCGCGCCGTCGCCCGAGACTTCCTCGCGATTCATTCAGGACGCACGCTTCGGCAACCCGCCTGCTCGACCTGGCCGCGTGGGCCCGCCTTCCCTTCCCGCCCGTTATGGTCTACCCGCCCGATCAGCCCATCAGTTTCTGCCATGTGTTTTCTGCCCCTAGTCCTCCTGCTACCCTCTCTCTCTTTCGTGATCCATCCTCCTCCCTCCCCCTCATCAGGCCTCTCTTCCCTTGCCTTCGGGGCTTGCACGAAATAGACGCTGCAAGTGAGGAGTATTCCCTAGTGGTATCGATCGAAGACGAAGAAGGCGGGTATCGTTTGGGATATACGTTTTGAATGGCACGCGAGTAGATAAGAACGAACAGTCTTAAAATGATCGTGGTCTCAGTTTTAAAGAATTATTATTGATGATCTTCCTTCTCTGGTAGCCATTGCATTTTTCAACTAAGGTGTTTGCTTCTCCCGGGGCTCGCACTCTGTCTTTTACCTGGGAAAGCGAGGGGTCACCAAACTGCGATGTTGGCCTCACCGTGTATTCCCAAGTCGCGCTCTCGCGCGTGACGTCCTCTCAACTGATTCAGGAATCGCGCTCTCGCGTGCGATTTCCGAGCCATTTATTCAGACGCCGCGCCATCGACACGCAGGAGTCATGCTCTCGCTGTGAACTTCCTCGCGGTTAAAAAGGAATTGTTCTATCGTTGGAGACGTCCTCGTGATTCATGCAGAACGCGCGCTTCAGCAACCCGCCTGCTCGACCTGGCCGCGTGGGCCTGCCTTCCCTTCCCTGCCGTTATGGTCTACCTGCCCGATCTGCCCGTCGGGTTCTGCCACGCGTTTTCTGGTCCTAGTCCCCCTCCTGCTACTCTCTCTGTGTCTCTCTAGTGATCCATCCTCCCTCCCCCGTGTCCCTTCCTGCCATCCGTCATCTCGTCCCCTGCCTTAGGGGCTGCACGAAATACAACGTTGCAGGCAAGAAGGATATATACCCCCAAAGGGGTACGATCGAACACGACGAGGGCCGGTATCGATGGTGCGAGATGTACGTATTGAGTGGCCCGCGAGCAGATAAGAGCGAACAATATTGACATGATTGTTGTTGGTGCTGTCGTTTTTGTTGTTGACGAAGCCATTCGCCGGCGGCCCCCCCTGGCGCAACGCAGCGCAACGCACCGGACCTCCCCTCCCCAGGCGCAACGCAATGAAACGCAACGAAACGGACGCAGGGAAGAAGGAATGTAGCAGGAGAGGGAGGAGGAGCAGCAGCAGGATGAGGAGGATGAGGAGGAAGAGGAGGAGGAAAACTTAGCCATTGTGGTGTTCCTGTGCGTCCCTGTCGTCGTCGCTATCGCCCTCTCTGTCTCCCTGTCTGTCTGTCTGCCGCCGCCGCAAACGACGACGACGACAACGTAAAAAATCACGACGACGATGACAACGACCTTGCGGTTCTTTTGGCGGTGCCGAGGCCGTCTTGGGCAAGGGGGATGAGGAATGTGAGGGATGTGATTATTGCTATTACTACTTCTTGATAATAAGCAACAACCACAACAACAACTACTAGTACTAGTACTAGTACTAGTACTAGTACTAGTACTAGTACTAGTACTACTACTACTACTACTACGACTACTACTACTACGACGACTACTAGTACTACTACTACCATTACTACTACTACTACTACTACTATTATTACTACTACTACAACTACTACTACTACTACTACCACTACTACTACTACTACTACTACGACGACGGCTACTACTACTTGTGCCATTATTATTACTACTACTACTTTTACCACCACTACTACTACTACTACTATTACTACTACTACTACTACTACCACTATTTACTAGTTGGTGCTACTACTACTACTACTACTACTACTATTACTACTACTACCACTACGACTACAACTATTACTGCTAATACTACTTCTACCACTACCACTACAACGACTGTCACTACTACTACTACTACTACTACCACTATTACTACAACTACTACTACTATTACAACTACTACTACTACTACTGCTACTACTACTCCTACTACTACTACGACTACTACTACTACTACTACTACTACTACCACTGTTAATTCAA